TACTTAATAAGTAACTGAGTTCACTGTTAACTGATAGTTTAATTTATTAGTTCAGAGCTTATTTACTCATTAATTGTGTAATAACTGCTGATTTTTCACTGTTAATGAACTGATTAGTGTGTTTACTCATATAAATAATTACATATGAACTAACTAGTACTTTTGAATTAGTCTCATTAATGATCTGTTAATTAATCTACTTTCTGCTTATTTGCTATGACTTTATCTCCTGATCTTCAAAATGTCTCAAATATGTCTTACAGTCACATCTCAAGGACAATATCACAGAATATCAAAATCCTACAGTATGTTTTTCTCTGTTACGCTGTGTTCAATGTGAGTGTGAGGTGTGTGAGACTTTCTGACAATCTGAAAATAATGTCATAGTAAAGAAGCAAAAACACAGTTTACACACCTTACAGTCTCAAATTGTTCTGTTCACAGAGTCACAACTGAATAACTTCAGTAAAATTTCTTGATAATCTGATATTTTGTGCTTCAAATATGCCAACAGATTGTGAGACATTGTAAAAATTCAGGAGATAAAGTCACAGCACAGAAGCAGAAACACCAACACCTCACATTCTGTGGTCTCTGTAAACTGTATGATTCAGATTGTGTGATAATCTGTTATTATAAGTACCATTTCTTTATTTATATAGGGACATACCCACAAATATTAAACAAGGAAAATAAGAGAGGTCCGTGCTTGACATACTTGAGTTTTTACAATTCCTTATGAATGAATGAATCAATGAATGAATCAATGAATTCCTTTTCAAGTTAGTTATTCAGTTCATGTGAACCTAACGCTGACACACGCTCCTCTTTTCAGCGTCTAGCAACGATTTGAACTATCAAGATTTGAAGAACTTTTTTGTATTCCACATAGATTAAAAACCATTGAATATAAAATGTTTCATTACAATCAATAAAAAATGTAAACACTATACCACTTTTTGTCCAGAAAAACTGGAGCTCACCCATTTACTTGTATTTGTTTACTGGCCGGTCTTGCCTTTAGCAAAATGGCAGGTGCGTAGATGTATTGCAGCAAAGGGCCGAAGCAGCCAATGTGGCATCTATGTATGTATGTCTATGGTTAACATGTTCGAGAACACCAATTGATTATTAACCATCTGTTATTCTATCACCGCATTTCTATACATAGTCAATTGTTTGTACCACTAAAAATATGCTAACGTATAAGTCATCTGTGAATATGTTAGCTTGTTACGCTAACTCACAAACTAGCTTGCCTAAGCTAGCTAGCATTAGCTTGGAAAGCATTAGTGAATAAAAAGGTGATTCAGTGCTCTCACAGCCGCTGTCTCAAACAAGTAATGCAGTCTCACTGTGTGTCTGTTATGCTGTGTTTAAAAGATAATCATTTTAAGAAGTTATTTGGTAAAATTTCTCACAGTTCAGCATTTTGAGACGTTTAATGATTGGAAGGTAAGATGGTAGCAGAAAAGCACAAATTCAGCCTTTACCTTTCTCTTATTTACGCATTTCTTTTACACAATGTTAAGTTCTAAAATGGTTCAGACTTTCTGAAATAGATTCCCTAAAAACACAACTCAGACAGTCTCTGTGTTTCTGTTTAATCCTTTTATTCAGCATTTATACACATACAGATTCTATACAGAGCGATTCTCAGTGTTATTTCGCCATCTACAGGTGCCAGGATGTAACTGCAGCACCATTTAAGGCAGAACGGGAAATTCTCATAAGAAGTTGGTGAATAAGAAGCTACTTCAGCCTCGTAGCTGCGCAAGATGTCTCAGTATGAACTGGTAACTATATGGGGTTTGTAGTTTATCTGCCGCTCTAAGCAGATTCACTGCATGAATGAATTAAATGGGAGCTACACAGAGACTCTCCTCCTCCACTGCAAGTGTGTCTTCCTGCAGGCTGAATTGAGAATTAGTGAGACAAAATTAAGCCAAAAAATGTTTTGGTCTGATAAATAATATAAAAATGGTTGTTTGTTTCTGATGAATTTATGAGAACAGAAGCAAAATACCGGCATTACTTACATTCATTGGGCTAAATGTCACAGAGCTCAGACCACGATCTATAAATAATTAACTTAGTGTACTTTATATTTATCTGAAAAAAGTGAATATGCACAGATTGATTAAAAATCCTGGTAGAATAAGAGTTCATCAAAATATTCACACAATTGTTATTCACAGTTAGCATGAAATCTTAGGAGGAAGGAATTTTGTTAGACTACTTTGTGGTTCAGACACCTGATGTGGCCCATTTAACCCAGCAATTGTGCACACATTGGCCCTTTGTGGGCAAGTAGTGGGTAGTGTGGGCAGGGGCTAGCCCATACAAATCCCAAACAGGTTTAGCAAATATTGAGTCAATACCCTTCTTATGTAGACACAGTGTGGGTTTTAAGTGGGCAGCCTGCACTTGGGCATAACCACAGAAATACTAAAAAGGACCACTGTGGGTTTGACCAAACTGAGCTAGCATCCCTTGTTCCATCCATTTCAACAACATTTTGCCCCGTATAGCAGGAGAAAATAGCTGTTTTTCAGACGAGAGCTTTATCGGTGTAGATTGTTTATTTAAGGCGAAGAAAGGCAGGACGTGCTTTTTTTGTGTTGTACAATAATGAGTTTGTCTGGAATTCAACAATGAGACCAAAAAATCAACATCCAGCTGATGTTAACAGCAAAAGTTTAAAAAATTGAGCTCTTTCCGGATCATTTCTCTTACCACTGCAGTCTGCAGACTGTTGCTCTGGCACTGGCAGAGTTTTTCATTGTGGTTCCATAGAAAATGATGGAACATCCAGCTTGACGTCGTGTGTCTGCCGCAGGCATGTGAACGCAGCATAAGTCTAAATGTAAGTCTTGGCTACATTTTAATCCCTATTTGAGCTAGATTAGTTGTACCACAGGAGGTCTGGTAATGTAATTTGTAAGGGATTTGACTGGCCAATTCACACTGGATAAAGTATCTGTGTTATTTCCCAAAATTATCATTAGCTCAGAGATCAAAACTTCCTAGCCTGGATCTTCACTTCAGTGTTAAGATTAGAATTAAACAGATCCAAACAAACAACATAAAGGGACTTCCAGTTAATACCACATAGAATAACATCAGTCTAGTAAAGTGGGCTCAGTTAACAAATATTAACAGATGTTTTGTGCTTTTCAGTGGTTGGCATAAACTGTCTGGTTGCTTTGTGGTAACAGTCTTATTTTGCTGCAAGTACATCATGTTTGCTTTTCTTCACACAGAGACGCTTCTCATCCCAGAAATCTCCAGTGAGTCTCTCCAGTGAGTCTCTCCATTGAGTCTCTCCAGTGAGTGATGGTGAGACTTCAGCTGCTTTTTAATCTTCCTTATGGGGTCCTGCATTCAGTCAAATGATTTTCATACACATTTATAATGACATTGCTTTGTAAATGAAGCACCTTCAGAAAGTTTTAATGGCTCTTTTTATACATTTCATTGTTACAGTCTTAAAGTGAAGTTGATTGAATTCATCTTTAGTGTTTGTGATCAGTCTACATTGATTACCACAGAAAGAATGGAAATCATGCTTTCATATATTTTTGTAAAGTACTTAATTATAATTAAAAGTCTTACATTTGTGTCTCCTATTGTTTTTTTTTGTTTTTTTTGATCATTTTACTCATCTTAATCATCCTTGTGTTCTTGGATGAAGCTCAAAGTAGGCTTTGCTCTTAATATCAGAAATCAACTTTCACCTGAAAGTGAAAAGTATTACTTTCCTTTTTTACCAAACAGTGTTGTCACTTTACTACTCAGGCCAGAAGTGAGACGGTCGAAGCAGTTACAGGGATTTCACTCTGCTCTGCATCGTAACCACAGTATCACAGAGACCCTCGTGGCTTATTGCTCTATTGTCACAACACAGATAAAACAAGACATAAATAAAACCAGCGAGCCCAGACAGAACAGAGAACAGTATGATTCAGAAGTGAGATTATTGGTTTTCTGACCTGATATCTGCTCTGTAATACTGGTCATCATGAACTACAGTCAGCTAAGTTTACATAATGCATATGATTGGATATCCCGCAACACAGGACTGCTACTGAATGCTGGGTCATGATTATGTCACTGAAATATGATGATGAGTTGACTCCTTCTTCCAAGCATTATACTAATTCTTTATACCATCTGATTGTGGAAAGAAATTAGATTTTTTACATTTTTTGTTCTCATTGTCCTGCTAATTATTTGAAGCTGTGAAGCTGTACAGGACTAGTATAATTGGGTACATTTATATACTTTTGTACATTTACAATAATGTACAGAATGTAAGCAATATGGTCTACAATCTCCCATTCATACTCTTAGCTTTCTGACACCAGGTTTGGTATGAGGCTCCAAAATAACTTATTATTCTCATGACTTTATGTGGACATGTGTAGTACAGTGTAAAAGTTTTAGGCACCAAAGGCTATTTATCGGCGCAGTAAGCATGTTTTTGCCCAAAACATTGCTGTTTCAATAAAAGCAAATAACATGAATACATATTGATTTTATGTATATTAGTATGTTAAGTAAACATGTTATAAAACGAAGAGTTATGGTCTTAAAATCTGATCTGTTTTGAAAAAAATACTCTATATATGCACATCTCCCATCTGACGAGTTTGCTGCTAGTATGAACCACTGTGTATATTGAGAGATGAATTCAGAACTGGTTTAGTTAAAACTGAGGGGCAGATAACTAATCTTCTTATCTAGAACAAGTCTGACCAGCTAAATAACAGCCTAAAATATTCTAACAGGCTAAACAGAATTAAAGTACTGACTACATGATTCACTGTAAACCTGCAGTATGAAATGAATATGTAAGAATGTGTCACTTTAATGTCTTAATGTGTTCAAATGTCTGTGTACGGTTGTCAGTCAGAGTGTCAGAGAGACGAGTTCCAGCTGAATATAAAACAGGAAATGTAGGTCTCTGAAATGTGACACCAGGGAGGAGAGCTGACATATTTCTCAGGTAAAGAAAAGCTCAGGTGAAGCTGAAAGTGTTTCTCCAGTGTTCAACACCACTTGGTGGTTTGAGAGGAACAATATTGTTTTTTGGAAGCCATGATGACGTTATAATATGAGATATAATACACACGAAAGGACGACACATTCAGTTAAAGAGCCTTTTTCTAGGATCTTGTTTGTGGAGGTAAGAGCTTTATATGAATATTTTAGTAACTTTTATAAAGAACAAGGAAAGAAATCAACAGCTAAATCAGCAGCTGCTGCAGTTCACATTAATCTGACTCTCATTAAAGTCACTTTCTTTCTTCTTCACCAGTAAAATTAAAAGTAATTGTTGACTCTGTGTATCTTGTGTCGTCTGCTGAGCTCCTGCCTCTGTGAATGTGTACACAGTAAATGAGTTTAGCTGCTTCTGTATTTTAATTTACTGCTAATTCATGATGTCCACATTTGTCTGTTTTTAATTACAGCTTTTACTGGCTGTTTTTCTGAGCTGTTTATTGTACAGAGTTGTTCTTCTTTGTAAGTTTGACAGGTTTTGTTAAACCAGAAAAACAGGATGAACCTCTCTGAGGAATGTGAGGAAGACAGTTCCACCCCCAACAAACACTCAGAGTGAGAGATTTTTATTTCTCTTTGTGTCATAATAGATCTTTGTAGTTGTTAATGCAATGAGATTGTTCAATATTTTAGCATTATATTTAATTTAATTGCATTTAATTTTATTCAGTGGGTCTCCATGTTTAACCCAGAGGTGAGGTCTGAAGTTATATTTGTTTAAAAAATATAGGTGAGCTACAATGGTTTAAAAATATATGTCCTCCCTGACCTGTAAGTGTGTTTCTGTAAGTGTCTTGTTATCTTAAATGTAACTGTAAAATATTACAGTTTATATTGTTATAATCATCAACTGTTCTCTATACTTCTTGTTTCTCTAAAGTATTTTGTGAAGACATTTTCTGAACTCTTTCCATGTTAAAGGTCTTGCTCAGCCATACACGCCAACAACGTAAACAGTGAGGGAAAACTAGTGGTCAGCAGATTACAAGTGACATTATTTTTTACTTATTGGTGGCAACTAGATTAATTAGCATTTTTACTTATTGGTGGCAACTAGATTAATTAGCATTTTTTACTGGGCTAGTCTATTAAAGAGATTTCAAACACTGTATGTAAATCTCAAGAAAAGTCTTTCATCATTTACAGTCTAATCCACATGAAGAGATCAGACTCTCCAGCACCCAGCTGTGTGTCCATGAAGAGTGATGAGTCTATGGATCATCCCCTAATGTTCAAAAATGGAGACCCCTCATCCCTCAGGTAATGGCTAGTCAGAGATAAGCTCTTGCTGAGAGAATGACTGTATTGTCCTGCAGCTTTTAGCAGCAGATTTTATTTTATTTGTATTTCTGTTTTTATTATATAAGTAGTTTGTTTCACACATTTTAAATGTAGATCAAATTGCTTGTAATTACAAGTGAAAAAATGGTGTGATTAACAAAATTCTGTATTAAATGAAATAAAATATTTAAGAGGAAATACAACTCCAGTTCCAGAAAAATTGGGGTGCTATGTAAAATGTAAATTAATGTAAATGAAACCAGAATGCAATAATTTGTAAATCTCATAGACCCATATTTTATTCACAATAGAACATGGAACACATATCAGATATTGAAAGTGAGACATTTTACCATTTCATGAAAACCATTAACTCATTTAGAACTTGACGGCAGCAACACATCTCAGAAAAGTTGTGACAGGGCAACAAAAATTATGAAACAATTTCAGAAAAATGTTCCTCAATGTAAAGTTGTGAAGACTTTGGAAATCCCACTATCTACAGTACATAATATCATCAAACCCTTGTACGCAAGGGACAAGGCCAGTGATCAGTATTGGATGCTCGTGATCATTGGCCCTCAGATGGCACTGCATTCAAAACAGGCATGATTCTGTAATAGAAATCACTGCATGGGCTCAGGAACACTTTCAGAAATCATTGTCTATAAACACAGTTCGCTGTGCAATCCACAAACGCAAGTTAAGGCTGTATCATGCAAAGAAGAAATCATGTATAAACAGTATTCAGAAAAGCTGCCAAATTCTCTGGGCACAAGCTCATTTAAAATGGACCGAGGCGAAGTGGAAAAGTGTCCTGTGGTCCAATTAATCAAAATTTGAAATTCTTTTTGGAAATCATGGACACTGCATCCTACACCCTAAAGACCTTCCAGCTGGTTATTAGCACACAGTTCAAAAGCCAGCACCCATGATGGTATGGGGGAGCATAAGTGCACATGGCATGGGTAACTTGCACATCTGTGAAGGCACCATTAATGCTGAACAAAATATATAACTTTTGGCAACATATGCTGCCATCCAGACGATGTCTTTTTCAAAGAAAGCCTTGCATATTTCAGCAAGACAATGCTAAACTACACTAGCATCCACCACAACAGCATGGCTTTGCAGAAGAAGAGTCCGGGTGCTGAACTGGCCTGCCTGCAGTCCAGACCTTTCACCAATGGGAAACATTTGGCGCGTCATGAAACAAAAAATCCAGCAAAGAAGACCCAGGACAATTGAGCTATAATGGGATAACATTCCTCTCCTAAAACTCTAGCAATTGGTCTCCTCACTTCCCAGATGTTTACAGGCTGTTGTTAAAAGAAGAGGGGATGCTACACAATGGTAGACCCTGTCCCAACTTTTTTGAGATGCGTTGCTGCCATCAAGTTCTAAATGAATGAATGTTTTTCATGAAGTGGTAAAATGTCTCACTTTCAATATCTGATGTGTGTTCTATGGTCTATTGTGAATAAAATATCTATGAGATGTCTATGTCTATGAGATTTGCAAATCATTGCACTCTGTTTTTATTTACTTTTAAATAATTAATTGGGTTTGTAAAAAACTAACCATAAAGTAAACCAAAAATAAGACAAATTTAAAACTAGTGATGTAATTAATATTAAAGTTATTACAAAATTGGGATGAGCTATTTTAACATGAAAGGTCTATAATGAAGACTATGTAAATAATTTCTTGTACAGTCTAATCCAGATAAAGAGATCAGACTCTCCAGTAACCAGCTGTGTGTTTATGAAGAGTGATGAATCTATGGGTCGTCCACCAGTGTTTGAAGATGAACACCCTTCATCTGGACACAGGTAACAGCTCCTCAACGTTGAGCCATTGTGGACAGAAAAGCTGATTCATCTATTCCAGTGGAAAATATTGACTGATTAGAATGAAAATCAAGTTTTAGACTGAAAATATAAACTGCTGTTTCCTCCACTGTATCAGTATCTATTCCAAAATATTCTAAAATGTGTGTCAAGTTCCAGTTATGAGTGTGATCTCTGATTTATTTTATACTCAAAAAGAAGATTTGATACTGAAGTTCAGATGCTTTAATGAAAATATGCAGCACATATTTGTGTGTCTACAGTTTCCTGCAGTTGGGAAGAGACATAACAGAAGAGGAGATCATCATAGATAAAGAGTAAGATCACAACCAACACACAGAGACATGCAGTATGTTATAAACACGTCAAGTTACCTCTTTATCAATTTTTACATTGATTAAGATTAGAGAGAACATATAAAGAGAATCTACAGAGAGCACACAATAGAGGACATTTGTGAATAAAGAAAATTTGGTTTGTGAATTTGCAGGAAATGAAAGTGGTTCTGAGCAGGCATCTTAGAAAGTTTATTTAAAATTGTACTGATAATTGGTCCTGTGTCTCACCACGTGTCTCACCATCTCACAGACATAACCATGCTTCTGATGCAGTGAAAGTCCAAGAAAACCTCAAGTTGAATCTCAAACAGAAGTTTGAGTGTTTGAATGAGGTGATAACAAACCAGGAAACCCCAACACTTCTCAGTGAGATCTACACAGAGCTCTACATCACAGAGGGAGACAGTGGAGATGTCAATAATGAACATGAGGTCAGACAGATTGAGGCAGCATCCAGGAGAACAGAAACAGAGGACACACCAATCAAGTGCAATGACATCTTTAAACCCTTATCAGAACAAGACAAACCCATCAGAACTGTGCTGACAAAGGGAGTCGCTGGCATTGGAAAAACAGTCTCTGTGCAGAAGTTCATTCTGGACTGGACTGAAGGGAGAGCAAATCAGGATGTCCACTTCATATTTCCACTTCCTTTCAGAGAACTGAATTTGATGAAGGACCAAAAACTCAGTTTGGTGGATCTTCTTCATATACGGTTTAAGGAGATTAAAGAAATGGAAATATCCAGATCTCACAAAGTTCTGTTCATATTTGATGGTTTGGATGAGTGTCGTTTAACTCTAGATTTTCAGAGCGCTGTGAGATTGGATGATGTCACTCAGTCATCCTCAGTGAAGGTGCTACTAACCAATCTGATCAAGGGGGATCTGCTTCCCTCTGCTCTTATCTGGATCACCTCCCGACCTGCAGCAGCTGATCAGATCCCCTCTGAGTGTGTGGATCGACTGACAGAAGTACGAGGGTTCAGTGACCCACAGAAGGAGGAGTACTTCAGGAAGAGAATCAGGGATCAGAGCCTGGCCGATAGAATCATCACACACCTGAGGACATCAAGAAGCCTCTACATCATGTGCCACATTCCTGTGTTCTGTTGGATTTCAGCCACTGTTCTAGAGAGAATGTTGGGTGAAGCAGAGAGTGGAGAGACCCCCAAAACTCTGACTCAAATGTACACACACTTCCTCATCATTCAGACACAAATCATAAGAGGAAAGTACACAAAGAACCAGAAGACAGATAAAGAAATACTTCTGAAACTGGGACGACTGTCTTTTCAGCAGCTGATGAAAGGAAACTTGATCTTCTATGAGGAAGATCTGAGAGAATGTGGCATCGATGTTAAAGAAGCATCAGTGTACTCAGGTGTGTGTACACAGATCTTCAGAGAGGAATCTGGGCTGCACCAGAGTAAAGTGTACTGCTTTGTTCATCTGAGCGTTCAGGAACATCTTGCAGCTCTATATGTGCACCTGACCTTCATGAATCAAAAAAGAAATGTGCTTAAACAAAATCAGTCCTCTAAACTGAGGATCCTCAGGAAAATCTCAGATGTACACAAGAGTGCTGTGGATCAGGCCTTACAGAGTAAGAATGGACATCTGGATTTTTTCCTTCGCTTTCTTCTGGGTCTCTCACTGGAATCCAATCAGACTCTCATACAAGAGTTAGTGACACAGACAGGAAGTAGGTCTCACAGCAAGAAGGAAACTGTTCAGTACATCAAGAAGAAGATCAGAGAGAATCCTTCTGCAGAGAAATTCATCAATCTGTTCCACTGTCTGAATGAACTAGATGACCGTTCTCTAGTTGAGGAAGTTCAGCAGTACCTGCAGTCTGACAATCTAAACCAAAGAACACTCTCTTCTTCACAATGGTCAGCTGTGGTCTTTGTACTGCTGACATCAGGAGAGAATCTGGATGAATTTCTCTTATGGAAATATAACAGATCAGATGATGTTCTTCTGAAGCTGCTGCCTGTAGTTGCAGAATCCAGAACAGCTGAGTAAGTATATACATGTATAGTTCGCATGTATATGCCTTTCAGCAGCATTAATTAGTGACATTAAGAGTGTTTATTTCCATCACATTAAAGCTTTGTATATTATTTTCTTTAGTCTTTCAAACTGTAGTCTGACAAAGAAAAGCTGTGCAGCTCTGGCCTTAGTGCTCAGCTCAGAATCCGCCAGCCTGAAAGAGCTGGATCTGACTGATAATAAACTAGGAGATTCAGGATTGAAGCTGCTTTCTGCTGGACTGGAGAATCCTCTCTGTAAACTGGAGACACTGTGGTAAGTTGAACGTGCTGCAAATGGATATGGTAGATTTTTTCATATTTTCATGCATGCAGTGCAGGTGCTAATCTGGCACAGAACAGCACAATTGTAAAATCATCAACAGTTTTTTTTTTTAGCTTGGGTTTACACTGAGGGAAATCCTTGTTTTCAATAAAGCTCAGTGTCACAGGGCGTAAAAGAAAAAAAAGCTGGTGACAGATAGACTTGTATGACAATAAAACCCAGTGATAAGCAACTAAGCAAAAAGATAATAAAATAAGGTGATAAACTGATAGGACCATAAAAAGTTGAGATGATACAACAGTAAAATAGGTCTTGAGATAAAGTCTAAATACAGATAATACAAGTAAAAAGTAATAATAATAAACACATTGACAACTAAACATTAATAAAACATTAGTTATTAGTTACACAGTTACAATCAGAACAAAAATAATTAGAAAATAAAAGTTTATAAGAACTATAAAGAAATGAGTGAATCAGGCTTTAGTGTGTCCTGTACTGTATTCCACCTCACTGCTGCACTGTAGGTAAAAACAGATTTACCAGCTCAGTAAAAGCTTAGAGGAACCTAAAGTGTAATAAAATTGTTTCAGTGAGTTTGGTAGAGTCTGTTGTTCACCGAGTGAATGGATATGATATGAAACATTTTTATACAGCACATCACTGTAATCACTGTAAACTTTTGTGCCAAAAGTTAATGTTGTGGCTGAACATTGTAGATTTTGCCAGCACAGCCAGCACATCACAGTGCATTTCTGAGAGAACTCACAGCCACTTGTGAATTCGGTGCTATGGAGGAAGAAATGATTTAAGACCAGCTTATAGAAAAGATGAACTCGATCCGCATTAGAGAGCGATTGCTCTTAGAAGTGCCACTTGACCTCAAGAAAGCCATGTCAATAGTGCTTATTTCATGCTACAGATGTGGTTTGAGACAGCATGCTGCTTACGCTGCGGGTTGCCCTGTGAGAGAAGCACTGTGCAGGTATTGCAGTTAGAAAGGACCATTTGTGTGTCGGGGAACCAAGATAGTTTGTGAGGTTACTGCTCCTGAAGTGATTGTCCTGAACAGAAACTTGAGCTAATGCTAGACGCAGGCTCTACTGTCTCCATTTTACCCATGTCAATGTTTGGAGGTACTGCCATACATGTCAATGCTTGTTTGAAAGCCAACGTAATGTTCGGTGACCGGTGTGCCACTGCAGGACTTTATATCATGCACCAGGGATCTGCAGTGCTTATTCTAAGCATTACAATTACAGATACTTAATGGCATTGTCAGTCAAGCTCCAGTCAACCATTCAGTCTCGACAGAGGCAACCACACAAGAAACTGCTCTTGTGGAAAGGGCTTCTCTCATAAGTGAAAATTGGGTCTGATGTCCAGCCCATGCCGCAGAAACTATGACACCTGCCTTTTTCAGTATGTAAAGCAGTTTCAGCAGAGTTAAAGATACTGGTTGAGCAACGATATGTAATTGAGCCAGCTGATGTATCTGAATAGATCTCTCCAATAATGGTCACCAGAAAGAAAGTGGGGGGGTCAGACTTTGTGCTGAACAAGGGAGAGGTACTAGACAGTTTTCCTTTACCACATGTGAAGAAAATGTTTGCAAAGTTGTGGAGCAACACTTACCATCAAGTCATGCTGCATAAGGACAGCCATATCACTGCTTTCCTTACACATGATGGTCTTTTTCGTTTTAAGCATGTTCCTTATGAATTTTGCTTTGGTACCTAGCTGTTTTCAACATATGATGCCCATCATTCTGAAAGGTCAGACAGGAGTCCAATGCTACCTGGATGATATAATCATCTCGGGGCAACAGTTGAGGAACATGACAAGAATCTGGAGTGTGCTGCATGAGGCAGGACTCAAGCTGAATCTTAACAGGTGCTATCAGGCAACCTGAACTGTCTTTCCTTGGGCATACTGTGTCAGCAAAAGGGTTGTAGCCTGATGCTTCACATGTGGCTGCAGTGTCACAAGCTCCACCACTTACAGATGTAGTCAGTCTTCTGTCATTTTTAAGGCTCACAACTTGGTATGCAAAATTCATAAGAATTATGCATCTGTCATGGAGCCATTACATGGCCTGCTATGTGGTTCTGCTTCATTTGTATGGACATAAGAGGCCCAACAAATTTTTGATAGGGTCAAGGAGCTCACACTTAGCAGCGCTGCACTTGCACTGTTTAACCCAGAGCTGCCCATCATAATCACCGCAGATGCATCAGACTATGGTATTGGGCCTGTGCTTACCCAGCAGCATTCAGACGGTACCGAAAAGTAGTGTTTGCATCACGCACACTCACCCAGACAGAGAGGAAATATTCTACCATAGAGAAAGAGGCACTAGCCTGTGTGTGGGCAACAGAGGGATGGAGAACTTATCGCTTTACTTTGCAAACAGACCACACTCCACTGACCACATTGTTGTCTTCAAAAGAACATGGAAGAACTGGCATGAGCATAGCTAGGTGGTCAGCCAGGCTATTCAGTACAAACCAGGATGGGATACCTGCACAGCTCACTATTTATCTCGCCTGCCACTGCATAGTGAAGAGCCCTGTCTGGAAAATGATGTTGAGGTGGTTGCACTTACATCCATAATTACTGCGATTACAAGCAATGAGTTCAAAACTACATGTGCCTCTTGTCCAGTACAAACAAAACTCTGCAAATTACTCACTTCCAGATGGCCTAAGTCTGCGAAATCCCTGGATCCAGCACTACAACCATACATTAGGCTGCAAAATGAACTTTTCCTCCAAGAGGACTGTGTGGTATGAGACACAAGCTGCCTTGTAGTACTAGAAAGCCTTCAGCCCAACCTTATTTCTCAGGCACACAATACACATCAAGGCATTTTCCAAACAAAAAAATTACTGGGAAGGTTGTACTTGTGGCTGGGGATGGATGCTCAAATGGAGGCATTCATCAAAACATGCATAACATGCCAGTTACATGACAAGTCTGCTGTCATGCATCCAAAACCATTGCAACCGGTGCCATAGCCTACCAGTGCTTTGGAAAAACTGGTAATTAACATCATGGGGCCATATGGCAATGCACCCCTAAATTGTCGCTTTGTGATCATGCCAATAGCTTATTTTAGTATAAGGCCAGGGATTGCTTTTACAGAACATGCTACAACACATGCCGTCATCCAGTTTCTGTCTTCGGTGTCCAGTAGAGAGGGCAACCTAAAGGAACTGATTCCTAATAATGGACCACAGTTCACCTCTCATGAGTTTGCATTATTTCAGGATTGAGGGATTTTGCACAGAACATCACCTGTATACTACCCGTGTGATTGCTTCAACCACAGCTTGAAGGACTGCTTGCAGACTGCTTCACTGAAGCACAAAGAGTGGAAGTTCACCAAAGATTTTTTGCAAGTGTACTGTGCAAACCCCATGCTACAACCCTGCTGAACTCTTACATGGAAGACCCATGTGTGCAAAGCTTTATGTTTTAGGTCTCAAGGTTCCAGTCTCCCACACTACATCACCATCACTGGAGGTTTCTGATAGGGTGGAAGCAGAATAAGCCAAATGCAAGCAAACACAGACAAAAGGCATGTGCAAGGAATGTTTCTTTTCGGTGTGGATTGTTAAGACCACATACACACTAGTGAAGGGGATACACACATACACACTTTCTTAAGGGGATATGAGAACCTATAGGTTCTAGCTATGTGAAAGAGAATAGAAAGATGCCATAGATTGATGCTGGATGAGCAAGAAAAAGGTAGCTGGTGACCACTTTGCCTTGAAAATATAAAAACATAAAAACATGTAACATCAATAATGTTTTTAACTGATATTTTTTTGAGCTGCTACATGTATGAAAGTGATAAATAAACTGGCTGCAATAATTGGGTAATAATATGGTAAGATTATGGTAACAAGTTTAACTAACCTAACCACTGCATGCTCATTTTTGTTTTTTTTTTAGTTTTTATTAAATAATAAGTTAGTTATTGAAGTGGTAAATACGATAGAATAAAATGGTAATAACAACTGGAAGTAAAATGAAAAAAAAAAATGCAATAAACTCTAAATACCTGTAAATATATAATTTTTTTATTTTCCAGTTGATATAAGATAATGTATTTAAAACTATCTATGAAACTAAACAACTAGTTATTGTAACCTGTCTTAAAAATGTTTTACAGTTAAAATTATATTATTCTATTCTATTACTCTATTCCGTAATCAAAAAAGCCATGTCAAATTTTTTGACAGTCTAATAGAGTTTATAGTAATAGGACTATTATGCTAAAAACAGTGAAAAGGTTTTGCTGATGTGGTTTTAGTGCTGTAAACTATGAATTCACTTGTTTCTACTTTATTTTTTATCTGTTATGTATGTAAAGGGTGAGGCGCAATATGGTGTACAGACATTGTTTCACACTGTAATTACAGTGAAACTATATGATATTGGAGCTGTAATATTAGTTCTTCAAAATAATGTGAGTAATTGCACTGAAATCATGACTACATTACTGCATAATCACCATGTTTTTTCTATTACTTTTACATGTAGCTCCACTTACAAATAGTATAAGGTAAATATACTGAGATTACACAGAGTCAGAGCTGATCACATGTTCCTTTTGTGTTACCTGTCAACAAAATACTGTTATTCTATTATAAAGCACATATCTGACAATGCTTAGAAATTAGCTCAAACCACACCATATTTGTCTTCATAAACATTTTTATCATTCTTTATCTTAACTTATTTATTAATAACTAGAAAATCATCATTTAATTTTTGAGTTTGTACATTTTACGATATTACCATTTTTACTGATCTGTAAAATAAATGAACCAATAAATCTTTATTTAACCCCCCAAAGTTTTATGACTGTAGACTCACCTTGTTGAAGTTCCTGCTGAACTGATTTGTGTGTTCTGAACTGAGAGAGTGAAGACCGTGTCATTGTTCTCTCTGCAGGTTGGGGGATTGTAATATCACAGATAAAGGCTGTGCTGCTCTGACTTCAGCTCTGAAATCAAACCCCTCACACCTGAGAGAGCTGAATCTGTCTTTGAATAATCTAGGAGATTCAGGAGTGAAACTGCTCTCTGCTGTACTGGAGAATCCTCTCTGTAAACTGGAGATTCTGTGGTAAGATCATCTCTCTGAGAGTCACACATGACCTGGTCCTCAGTAAGACATGTTCTCTAACTGTTAAACTGTCTGTAGGTTTAGAATCATTATCTTGAGTGTGTTTGTTTCATTTCTTCAGAGACCTTTCATTCTCTCATCATGCTGTTTGTTGTTTTCTCCACTCATATTTTAATTTCCTGATTTTTTCTTTGCCATATTGAAACTGTAACAGATTATTGAATCATTTCTTTATCAGTTTGAGTTCATATTTAACTTGTTTTTTTCTAAAGATTTTTTTATTCGTATATGTTGTTGGATAGTACAAGTTAAAATTTTGGACACACCTACTCATACAAAGATTTTACTGTATTTTTCTTCCACACTTTACAACAATACAAATCATCAAATCTATCTTATTAATGGTGTCACATGTTTCAAATGCAGTAACCCATTGATGACGAAGTTTCTGAAGTACTGATCTGTATATCCTGAACTAATAAAGTGAAGAGTGTGTCATTGTTCTCTCTCTCTGCAGGTTGTGGGGTTGTAATATCACAGATGAAGGCTGTGCTGCTCTGACTTCAGCTCTGAAATCAAACCCCTCACACCTGAGAGAGCTAATACTGTCTGGGAATAAACCAGGAGATTCAGGAGTGAAGCTGCTCTCTGCTGTACTGGGAAATCCTCTCTGTAAACTGGAGACACTGGGGTAAGATCATCTCTCTGAGAGTCACACATGATCCGGTTCTCAGTAACACATATTGTCCCAATAAGGCATTTTTGGTACCACCTTTACAGTAGGGTTTCTAAGTAATCTAGTAACTATGTACAAACTTATCATGAATTAATGTAGTAATTATCTGTAATGAATCATGCGTTATGCATTGTTACTAATCAACAAACATGATAAGGAATTAGTTGTTTTCACTGTTTACAACATCAGAGAAAGTACAACCCCTTTTCCAAAAAAGTTGTGTGCTGTGCAAAATGTAAATAAAAATAAAATTCAATGATGTGCAAATCATTTAAACCCTACATTTAATTGAAAATAACACAGACAACAGATTAAATGTTGAAACTGAGAATTTTTATTGTTTTTTGAAAAATATATGCCCATTTTGAATTTGATGGCAACAACACATTCCAAAAAAGTTGGGGTGGGACAACAAAAGGCTGGTAAAGTTGTGTAATGCTAAAACGGCTTGTGCTTGACAACAAGTCAGTAACATGACTGGGTACAAAAAAGCATCCCAGAGAGACTGAGTCTTTCAGAAGTAAAGAAGGTGAGAACTTCACCACTGTGAAAGTTTGTGTACAAATAGTGCAACAATTCAAGAATAACATTTCTCAACATAAAATAGCAAAGAACTTGGGGGTTTTGTCATCTACGGTACATGATATCATTAAAAGATTCAGAGAATCTCTGTATGCAAGGGACGATTGGATGGCCATGAACTTCAGCTCTTCAGACAGCACTGCATTAAAAACACACAAGGTTCTGTAGTGGAAATTACTGCATGGGTTCAGGAGCACTTCTGAAAACATCATGGTCACTCCAGTGTCTTACACTCTGCTGCTGTTTATGTCAGAAGTAGGACAGTGCCCCTCAGTGGTCTGGGGAAAAATGGTGCTTCAAGAATCCTCCAGGCAACAGAGAGAAAGACAATGCCTGGTGAAAGACAGTGAAGATGGGAACAATGCTGAGAAAAAAGATGGCCTGGTGAGGCCAGCATGGTGAGACTGGAGGCCAGGGCCGGCACAAAGAGGCTTGATGGTGAGATTGATGCAGTGAGGCTGGAGGCCAGGTGCAGTGCAGGAAGGCCCAACAGTGAGGTCAAGTGCGGCATGGACGACAGACAGCTCATCAAGCTCGCCTTAATGAGCCCACTGGCATCTCTGCTGCAACCAGTGTGCTTGTGCACCAAGAGGGGTACATCACACAGCTGGAAAGGGGCTATCGTCATGCTCAGAACAGTCACTAGTGTATTTAGGCTCAGGAACACTTCTGAAAACCTGTAAACCCAGTTCATCGCTGCTTCCACAAATGCAAGTTAAATCTAATGTAAATCCATGTAAAGATGAAACCAAATATATATAAAGCAAAACCTGAATTTCTTTTTAAAAATCATTGATGCCACATTCCCTGGGCTTGTCATCAGCACACAGTTCAAAAGCATGCATCAGTGATGGTATGGGGAGGCAATAGTGCACATGGCCTGTATGAATTGCACATCTATGAAGGCATTATTAATGCTGCATGGTATATACAGATTTTAGAGCAACATTTGCATAGGCAATAATGTTTCTCAGTTTCAACATTTGATATGTTATCTTGTCATTGATATGTTGTCTATTCAATTAAATACAGGGTTTATTTATTTGCAGATCATTGTATTCTGTTATTTACATTTTGCTCAGTGTCTCAATGTTTTTGGAAACAAGGTTGTAAGTAAAGATCATCAAAATGCACAGAAGTCATGAAAAATCTAATTATTGTTTATTAATTCGATCTCAAAAATAAGTAACTGAAATGTAAGAGGTGCAGAGTGTGTGATGGACCTAATATCAGCTACTGCTCAGTAACTTAAATCTTCATCAACAGAAACATGGACTTTTAACTTTTTACAACGTTTACATCCACATCAGACTCAGACATTGTTCTCTCTGCAGGTTGTGGGGTTGTAATATCACAGACGAAGGCTGTGCTGCTCTGACTGCAGCTCTGAAATCAAACCCCTCACACCTGAGACTGCTGGATCTGTCTGAGAATGGCCTGATAAATACAGGACATGAGCAGCTGTTAGCTCTTCAGCATGATAAATATTACAGACTACAAGATTTAATGTGAGTAACAGTAACATGTTTTCCATCCACCATTTTTTTGCAAATTCTGAAAATGCATAAAAACATAGGATGAGGTGAAAAAGTTAGAACTTTGTGAAAGCCGAAAATATAAAAGTTCAAATAAACAATAATGTATTAAGCTGTAAGAGAAAAATAATTGGCCCTACAGATGGTCCAATCATGGCTCATAGCTTTTTGAAGGTTGTTTTCGATATTCTGAAATGCCTAATTCAACATTTGTTTGAAAAATGGCTCTGCATAATGACCTGGCAGAATTGTTAAAGTTACTTTGCATAACTGTAGTGGATGGAAACATGACCTAATTTGCATTTTATTCTGCTGAAATTTTGTAAATGCACACAACAGTTGCGGAATGTTTAAATGGAAACCCGGCTAATGATTTTACATGAATCTGCACACACACACAAGCCCACAAACACTGCCAATAGTGATTCACAGTTTAAAATCTCTATGATTAAGCTGCATGTAGGAAACTGGTTCTAAATCCTTTAAATGAGTAACTTGGTTATTATACTGACTAGTTTTGTATTGAAAATAGTGTTATTATTTTTTGTATTAAAAGTTTTTTTTTTGGTTCTTTCTGCTTTTCAGTATTTGATGTTGATGATGTGTATTACTGATCACCAAAGAGACGACATCATGAAGAGATGAAGTGATTTCTGAATGTGTGTGAGGAGCTCCAGCAGCAGAGGGAGACACAGTGTGTGTAAATACAGTATGAGTGTGTGGACTAGATGGACGTGTGTGTTTGTGTACAGAAAACTTCATGAGAAATAAAATACTAAAAAATGAATGTCTGATATTCAGAGAGGAAGAATCTTCTACTCTGTCACACTCAGGTAACAGATGGACCATGTGATACTTTGTCCAGTGAAGAAAACAGACTGTAAACTAGTCACAGGTCATGATGTTTTGTATGTAGAAACCGGAAAAAATGTTTTTGTTAATCTGTCTTTGTACCAGTTGAGCTCAAGGCTTCCTTTATTTATGGTTTTGTTTATCTTCTGTTTCCATGTGAGCACATGTTTTATGAAGTGAAGCTAAATTTAAATCAGAAGCAGTGACCGCACTGCATGCAGTGTAGCTCCTGTGTTAATCAGTGTGACCCTTTAAACTGGTCATCTGAGTCTATTTTGGCTGTTTGTCACTATAAGTGTGCACAAAATACGCTCCCACCACATTTAACTCATGAGCAAGTGTTGATTCTTGCTGCTTGTTATTGTAGCAACCTGCTACTGGCTGGCGCTGAAAGACTCTAGCTATGCAGATGGCCACACGCCAGGGCTCATGGTATGTGCGTGTCCTTTGACAAAAGGACTTGTTGTTTATCGTTGTTATCTGTTAATTTATGGTTAGTTTAAGTTATGTGTAAGTGTTGTATGTGTGATATTCTTTGTTGGGAAGTGGGGTTATTTTGTGGGCATTCTGAGTAGGGGTGGTCATCGCGATCATGGTCACTCCTGTGTCTTACTCTCTGCTGATGCCACACTGATGTCAGAAATGGAAGAGTGCCCCTCAGCGGTCTGGGAAAGAACAACCCAGAAAGGCTAGGGTAAGGTAGGGCTTGACATAAAAGATGCAGTGAGGCTGGATGCCAGAAGCAGTGCAAGAAGGCCCGACATTGAGGTAGAGTGCGCATGATAGATGGCTCAATGCACTTGCCTTCACAAGCTTGCCGATATCTCTCCTGCAACCAGTCTACTGAGATGGGCACATCATACAGCTGGAAAGTAGCCATCGTCCAGGACAATCACCAGTGGCAGATGCAGAGCTCCAGCATAAATGGCATTCAGGACAGCATTGTTGGTGTGGTGGGCACTGGTGAGACTGGAAGCACCAGATCAAGTGCTGCTGTTGCTGCCATCACCCCCAGCTGCAAGGGAAATGATGCATTGTTCTGTGGGGAGCTATTCTATATGAGAGAAACCGTGGCAGCAGGGGTGTGGACCTGGGGGAGGAATAGGAGCTTAAATTGTTGAAGAGCAAGTGCCCTGTGGTGTCTGTGCTGGCCAGGACTCTTGATGGATGCTCAAGAGCTTGGCTCGAGCTGGTAGGTCACTGGGGACCAGATGAGACATACATGCTAGGGGACATATGTGATATTCTGTGTCGGAAAGTGGGGTTATTGTGTGGTTGTTTTGTGCAGGGACACCGTCAGGTAGAAGTTTATAAATAGAAGTGACCTCCACTGTGAGTTCAGTGACAGTAAGTTTTCCAACAGATCATGGTCACTCCTATGTTCAGTGATAAACATACAATAAGTTCCCAAAAAATGATTTTTACTATCAGCATTTTAAAAAGACAAAGATGTTTTAAATATGGGTGTCCTAACCGCATGCACACTCCACAGTACTTCACTCTCAGTACACACATCTGTTGTTTAGAGGTGGCAGAGTAGAAAATTCTATTTCACAGGGTTTTTTTTTTCATTCAGCTTTATGATCAGTACATGATGTGTACAAGCACAATGCACTGTGTCACTAATGTCACTGTTTGCGCTGAAAATTGCACTGAAAATGGAAAAACCTAAATTTTTTCTGCGATTTATTGTGTTAAGGTTCTGTAGCTTTTATTGGAACAATTTAGGATGAGATTTTCAGATTTGCATTTCTTAATCTTCCGTTTCTGATGGAATGTGTGCAGAACTGGAGACGTACTGACTGTTATCTGTTCTGAGCTCATACAGGGAGAACATGAGTATCAGTGTGTCTTGTACTGTGAAGATCTCTGCTGTTCCTCTCTGAGCTCTAATAAAGCTCATCTGATTATTAGTCTATCACTGCTGCTGAGTCTCTCCATCGCACACAAACACCTCTCTCTGATTTAGATTGGGAAAAGAGGAAACAGACTGTTTGTGTGTGAGTGTTTATGTTTAAAAAATAATAATAATTTCGCAGAATGTCACATTTTTGCACTTTACCCTAATCTTTTCTGTAATTATATCCCCAAAACTTCTCTCATCCTGTTCAAACTACATCCAAGTCGTCATTAAGGTAGTGCAGACTTGCTGATGTGGTTTAGACGACCAGCAGGTGTTGTGCTGAATTCTGACTCAACCTGAAGAATCTGACTCCATTTTGTGAGCATGTATGTCTCTCATGTGTCATATGGATGCTAGATTACAATCATGATTTCTGTTGGTTTTTATATAAATATCAGTGTAAAACTGTTAATTCGAAATATTAACAGTTATTTATAAAAAGAAGCAGCAGAAATAATCATAATCTGTAATATGTGTGAGAGCTTTAGTTCATTTTTATAGTTCAGTAAGTCACACTCTCAAACTCTGATTCATAGAAAGACAATGAAAAAGTGTCTCACTATCAGTTTTCATGTCCTTCATTACAGTTCATTCCACTGTAAAATAACAATGGAGGCTTTAATATTTGGACAAGCAGCTCTCTAAAGCTCACAGATCTCTAAAACAGAGAGCAGCACAGACTCAACGTCAGTCTTTCACAGAGTTTCTTGGAGTTTTTCAGCTACGAATAAGAACTCAAATCCCAGAGTTCCCTGTTTTCACATCACACACACAAAGCTGAACTACACTCCTAAAAAAGATGGTTCTTCAAGGGTTTATTAGGAAAGACAGTGGTTCTATATAGAACCATGGACACTCAAAGAACCATTTGCAAGATTAAGTGGTTCTTGTATGATTAAATCGGTCTTCAGATTGATGTTTTATATGGTTCTAAATGGAACATTTTTGGAAAAGGTTCTAGATAGCACCAAAATGGTTTCTTCTATTGTTACAGGCTTGATAAAGTAGAAATAGAAGAACCCTTTATGGTACTATATAGAACATTTTTCAGAAATGTTTTATATAGAACCATGTACAGCAAAGTCTCCATCAATCTGAAGAACAATTTATCAATGCAAAGAACCATTTAAGCATGCAAATGGTTCTTTGAGTGTTCATCTTTCTATATAGAACTATTTTCTTTACTAAAGCCCCCTTGAAAGTGTAGAACAAAAAAGTGTAGAACAAAAAAGAGTTCTATTGCTATTGTGCTTTTGTGGGTTACTATTATTACAATGTCAAACTTGGAACAATAGCAGAACCTTTTTGGTGCTATGAAGAACCATGTTCAAAAAAGTTCTCTATGAAAACACATACAACACATTCTTTATCAATCTGACGAGCGATTTCACCATGCAAAGAAAAATTTAAGCATGCAAATGGTTCTTTGAGTGTTCATGGTTCTATATAGAACCATTTTTTTTCTGACGACCATCATTTTTGAGAGTGTAGAACAAAAAAAGGGTTTGCTTTTGTGGGTTATTATCATCATAATGTCAAAATTGGAACAATCACAGAACCTTTTCTGGTGCTAATCGGTGGTATAAAGAACCATTTTCAAGTAGGTTATACATAGAACCATATACAACGCATTCTGTGTTCTCCATCTGAAGAACCATTTCACCATGAAAAGAACCATTTAAGTATGCAAATCCTTCTTTGAGTGTTCATGTTTCTATATAGAACCACCCTCTTTCCTAAAGAACCCTCAGAGAACCGTCTTTTTCAGAGTGTGGATCAGACCTGTTTGTGCTCTTATGTGCAGTGAAACTCAAACTGAGGGTGAAAGTGTGTTGGAGAACGCAGAGATCACCATGAGAACCGGAGAACATTTCACTACAAACTGGCAGCTGATCTGAAACTGTGAAGAGAGTGAATCAACATCTGAATCCAGACATTATAGACATGATAAAGACTCTTATTGGCTGTGTTTTACTAGCAGCTCCTCTGTCTCCTCAGTTGGCTGCAGACGCAGCGTTTATACGCGTCTCTTCACCTTTTTCTCTCTTCTGGCTTCTCACTGGCTGCTGTCTGAGTCACTCGCTCAGCTCCATCACTGACCATCTCACACTGCAGGACTCGAGAACGTTCTGAG